CAGATATCTTATCCGGAGTATGTGCCTTCTAAGTATGAAGACCACTTATATATCTGAGGTTGTTAGTGTTTAAAGGTATATAGTGCTCTCGTCAACCTAGTAGTGAACTATAATTCTTTGATACATTTGAGTCTTTTGAATTTCTATACCCTCTCTAAACAATAATTCTTCAAAGTGTGGTCCTGGCCAAAAAGCATCTTTACCTGAAATCTTGCTATAAATGCAAATACTGAGAACTTACTCTCTACCTCTGAATATGGGGATCACCACTCCATAAGCTTTCCAAGTTTGTTTTTGAAAGATCTCCATTTTTTTTCATCATTGCTCAAGTTTACCCCACTTGTCCAGAGGAGTTTGCAAGAATTCTAAAACTTGAATCACAAGTAAGAAGCAACAGCTCAGAACTAATCCAAAGGAGTCTTGATAAACATTATGTCTATATATTTAAGTATTTGTTGAAACATTACTGCAAAAAAAACTATGATCAAAGCTTTTGGGGTTGGAGCAATAGCACAGTGGGTAGGGCGTTTGCCTAGCACGCAGCCAACATGGCCAACACAAGTTCGATTCCCAGCATCCCATATCGTCCCCAAGCACCGCCAGGAGCAATTCCTGAGTGCATGAGTCAGGAGTAACCATTGAACATTGCCGGGTGTGACCCAAAAAGCGAAAAAAATAAAAAAAGCTTTCATTCCTGAGAAATCATCATGTCTTGAGAAAATCTCCACACTAGCTACATAATGTATTATGCAATACACAGAAATATATAGCATATAATATGCCATCATGTATCATTTGTAAATATGTAATTTAAGTATTCTTTAGTCACAAGTAAATATTTTGGATAAGAAACTTTTATTTTAAAAATATTGGCCCTATCTGTCAGTGTAATAGGAGATATAGAAGATTTGACAATTCATTACTGGTGACAAACATACTGCTTACAACAGTACAGGGGTGATGGGTGAAAGAAACAACTAGCTAAACCAGACTGGATCATAGAATGATTTCATGCATACACTTTTCTTTACCTGGAAGTGGTATTCCAGTACTATGAAGTGTTCACATTTTTCTAACCAGATTATATAGTGCCTAGAGACTCTTTCTTTGCCTTTTGTCTTCTCTTGACTTAAAATATTTGAAAACGAGATAAGATTAGTGTAAGAACATTGTATGTCTAAAACTCAGCTATTAATAAATTTGTAAACCACAGTTCTTTAATAAAATTTTTAAAAATTGAAGACTAGATCACTATGATCATCAGCAGAAAGAGAACACAGAAGAGATGTGAACAACTGACATACCAATGATAATTAAATTCAGTTTTTTATCACTTTTGTTTACATGACAGTTTTCCCGTCCTTTGCCTCTTCAATGAATATCTTTCTCCAACTCATAAATTCCTCAATCCTGGTTTATTTTTATATCAGTCTACCTTCCTTTTAAAGTCTATTTTTCTCCAATACTATTTAAAATCTTTGACATGTGACTAGAGAATTAATATTTAAATGGAATATACTTTTCTTTTTTTCTTTTTTCTTTTTGGGCCACACCCGGCAATGCACAGGGGTTACTCCTGGCTCTACGCTCAGGAATTACTCCTGGCGGTGCTCAGGGGACCATAAAGGATGCTGGGAATCGAACCCGGGTCGGCTATATGAAAGACAAATGCCCTACCCGCTGTGCTATTGCTCCAGCCCCCTGGAATACATTTTTTTTATGGTGGTATAGTATGTGCTCTATATTTTTTGTTTTGGTGCCAAACCTGACTGTTCTCATGGCTTAATCCTGGCTCTTCACTCAAAGGTCACTCCCAGTAGGTTCAGAGGATGCTAAGGGGTGCTGTAGATTGAGTCCAAGTTGGCTGCATCCAAAGAAAGCACCTTATCTACTTATACTATCTCTCAGGCCCCCTATGCTATATCTTACTGAACTAATGCATACAGCAATAAAATGTTACTATTATAGAAAAATATTTTGGTATATGTTCATAGACATTATATGCAAAAATATAATTTGTATAAAGATTGATTTATAATATGTTCAACTATAAGATGAATAAATAAGAGAATACCCAACAGCAAAGTAGTACTTTTGGAATTATTCTTATTTTTTTCCAATATCTTCTTTCTTGAGACTCTAAAGAGACATATGTTTTTAATATTTAATTGTAGTTATCATGATTTACAATACTGTAAGTGACATGGTTTTATACATACTGCATTCCAACATCTCACCCTCCACCAGAATTTCCTTTTCATTACCCCAATTTCTTATGGTCCCCACCTCAAACCTCCAGTTTAGGTTGTTTCCAGATTTTAGCTCTTGTGAAGAGTGCTGCAATCAACATAGGAGTACAAATGTCTTTTCTGCATTGAGATTTTGAATCCATGGGGTAGATACCCAGTAGTGAAATTGCTAGGTCATATGGAAGTTCAAGTCTTAGTTTTCTAAGAAGTGTCCATACTGTTTTCCAAAAAGGTTGAACCAGGTGACATTCCCATCAGCAGTGAGTAACGGTTTCTTTTTCCCCATATCCATGCCAACAATAGTTGTTTTTGTTCTTTTTGATATTTTTACGTTCTTTTTGATATTCGAGTCTCATTGGTATCAAGGGATAGCTCATTTTTGTTTTAATTTGCATTTCCCTGATGATCAATATGTAGAGCATTTTTTTAATATACCGAACTGGCCATCTTTATATCTTCCTTGAGGAGTTTCTATTCACCTCTTCCTACTTTTAGATGGGGTTGGTTATCTTTTTCTTGTTAAATTTTACAAGTGCATTACTATTTAAAAAGATTTTGGGCTACAGAAATTGTCCTGTGGGGAAGATTCTTGGCTTGCATACAGTCGATCTGCATTTAATTCCTCACACCACACTTGGTTCCCTGGGCACTGTGCGGATTGACCCCCCTAAGCACAGATGTAGTAGTAATCTCTGAGACCCCCAAAATACAAATGGTTACATAGAGATAGTACAGGGCTCAAGGAGCTTGTCTTGAATGTGGCAAAAGCTGTTGAATACCTAGCACCACATATGATAGCCCAAGCACCACCTGGAATGATCCCTGAGCAAAGAGCCAGCCATATGCACCACTGGTTATAAACACAAACAAAAATACAGATTTTAATGGAAGAAAATAAGTTACATTACAAATGTGATTAACAAGGAAATAAAACAAGGGAACATTATCAAATAATAGCAAACCCTTTGATTTTGAATAAAGAACTGAGGTTGCCAAGTGGTAGAAAAGATTGGAATGGGGGTTTGAGGCAGCAAAAGTGACACAAAGACACTGGCAGAGGGTCTTTGGTACTTGATGGTGTAAAGGTGCAATCCCTTTTTATATCAAACCCATATACCTTAAAATTATTATAACCATGATACCTCAACTATAATACATATGACATAGAAAATAATGTGCTAATTCTTCATGTTGTTGGTAAGAGTTTTGTAGGTATTCAAAAGTAGTACACAAACATTTGACACTCCAGGAGGAGTTTCAGGTCCCCTAATCCTCATAATGTCAAGCCTCAATTGTACTTAAAATGACCCTGGGGATGTCAATTAAATTCAAAACACATCTCCCATAGATAAGATTTTTTCCATAGACCCTGTTATGAAGTAGTTAACATTTACATGTTCATGTTAATTTTCATCTCTGAGTTTTCCCTAACAAGTTATGATCATAGAATGGTCAATATATCAGACTACTAAAATGAATACAGACATGTGAGTTGCAGGAAATGCATCTAAATGTCCTTAAAGTCAGAGGGAGTGTCCTGAAGCCATCCAGGACACTCCTTTTGACTTTCATGTCTTTATACCACATGGGCATTAAATTTTCTATGCCAAAGGCAAAGTGCATTATGCCCTGAAATTTATGAGAGTGTCAATTCACCTTGATCTAAAAATCAACTAATACACTTATAATCAACAGGGAAGTATAAAAGAGAGCTAAGGATATTGATATTGGTAGACTCAGCATATTGATAATATTTAGAATTGAGATGAGTTATGAATCTCAATGTTGCATTCTAGAAAACAAATTGACAAGAAGAAATCTACCCAGATGATTAAAGACTTCTTTCTTGTTCCTAGAAACAACAAAAATTTGGGATATTTATGCTACAAAATTAATATGAGATTACATGGCAGTAATTATCAAATAGTAGTTGATATATAAAGATTTCCATGTAAAAGAAAGACTAAAGAAAGCAGATCTTAAAGCCATTTCTTTCATTAATATTACAACTTTTGTTCTAATAATCAAACTGATTTATATGATGTGATTTCATATTGCTATGTTTTCCAGATAAGATAAAAAAGATATCATTAAAAACTATATGTATATATGCATGTACATACGTACACATAAACATGAACACATATATATGTTTTGGGCCAACACCAGTGATACTCACACAGGGCTCTGCATTCAGAGGTCACTCCTGGCAGGTGCAGGAGACCATATGGGGTGCAAGGATTAAACCCCAGTCTGCCACATACAACGCAATAGTCTTACCCATTGTACTATCTTCCCAGTCTCCAAATCAATATATTTTCTATTATAATCTAGTATAACAAGATTTTCAGTTCCCAAATCCAAGAATGGACTACCAGTAAAGTATCAATTATTCCCTGTTTTGTTTTCTCTTCAACAGAAAATTACACAGTTCATACAATATGCAAAGCATTTCCCCATGCTTAAGCCAAGTGCAGTTTTTGCTCTTTCATTTGAAGCAGGGAAAAATAATGGCCAAAGGCAAGATTGTATGACTATAACAACATACTGTGTAGGTCTGTGGGAAAAGCAGAATATTACACGTTACTGAATTCTCTGTGAAAATCAATAAGGGCTTCTTTCTCTGGTCTCTCAGAAATGGGACTTTCGGAAATGTTTGTGAAAAGAAAAGAATGTTTTCATGCACTATTGTTTTATTTATAAGACAGTGGCTTAGACTTTACTCTGTAATATTGTAATGTGTTTTGACAGACAATAAAGATTATGATGCATACTTATCGTACACTAAAGTGGATCCTGACCAGTGGAACCAAGAGACTGGGGAGGAAGAACGGTTTGCTCTTGAAATCCTACCTGATATGCTAGAAAAGCATTACGGATACAAGCTGTTCATACCAGACAGAGATTTAATTCCAACTGGAAGTAAGTTAACATTTCCATTTTCAAGTGTGCATAATCTTGTGTATGTCTGTGCAATCATCACTACTTTTTCTTTTTGTTTTGGAGCCATACCGAGCAGTGGTCAGGGCTTACTCCTGGTTCTGAACTCAGGGATCACTCCTGGTAGGGCTTGGGGGAAATTATGGGATACAGGGATTCGAACTTGGGTCAGCCCCATGGAAGGCAAGTGTCTTACCTGCTGTTCTCTAGCCCCTGTGTAGTTATCACCTTTTAGAAAGAATTTTAACTTTGGAGTCTTCATATCTTTTATCTGTCATTTTGTCAAGGAAGAAATGTCTGTGCCTTCATATGTAACTCAATTTTTGCTACCTCCAAGGAACTACTTCTACTCTTTTATAAAGAATCCATTTTATGAGACTTGACACTTTAAAAATATCAAATAGGAAATTTTTTTAACTGGAGGAAAATATTTCTAACTTTGATCAGTAAGTGCCAAACTCCATCCAAGTTGATCACTTTGCTTTTCTCCTCTTCTCAGTCTTTCCCAACAAACCATTTTCTGTGAATGCGCAAATTTTCAATTTCAAAAACCTGTGTGCAGGATTTCAATTTCCCAAACCTTCCAGGATTTGGAAAACCAAAATGTTCAATTCACACCTTTCTGATGTATCTCTTTCTCTTTTGCAGCATATATCGAAGATGTGGCGAGGTGTGTAGATCAAAGCAAACGGCTAATTATTGTCATGACCCCAAACTATGTAGTCAGAAGGGGCTGGAGCATCTTTGAGCTGGAGACCAGACTTCGAAACATGCTTGTGACTGGAGAAATTAAAGTGATACTAATTGAATGCAGCGAACTCCGAGGAATTATGAACTACCAGGAGGTGGAGGCCCTCAAGCACACCATCAAGCTCCTCACGGTTATTAAATGGCATGGACCAAAATGCAACAAGTTGAACTCTAAGTTCTGGAAACGTTTACAATATGAAATGCCTTTTAAGAGAATCGAACCCATTACACACGAGCAGGCTTTAGATGTTAGCGAGCAGGGGCCTTTTGGAGAGCTGCAGACTGTCTCGGCCATTTCCATGGCTGCGGCCACCTCCACAGCTCTAGCCACTGCCCATCCAGATCTCCGTTCCACCTTTCACAACACGTACCACTCACAAATGCGTCAGAAGCACTACTACCGAAGCTATGAGTATGACGTACCTCCTACTGGCACCCTGCCTCTAACCTCCATAGGAAATCAACACACCTACTGTAACATCCCTATGACACTCATCAACGGGCAGCGGCCACAGACAAAATCAAGCAGGGAGCAGAATCCAGATGAGGCCCACACAAACAGTGCCATCCTGCCACTGTTGCCAAGGGAGACCAGTATATCCAGTGTGATTTGGTGACAAAATCGAGGGACACCCTGTCCCTGAGCATTTGAGTGGGTCTGCAGTCCAGTGCCTGGAACTAAATCCTCGACTGCTGCTGTTAAAAACATGCATTACAATCTCTAGAACACGAGGAAAAACAGGGTCTTGTACATATGTTTTTTGCAATTTCTTTGTAGCATCAGTGTCTTCCTGTTTTACCATGTCTCTTACCATCACATTTTTGACTTTGTTTTATATGTCATTGGAATTTGTAAATTTACATTTTTTTAAAGAAGAGACTTATGTATAGATAGAAAACCCTTTTTTGCTTCGTTAGTTTACTTTTAGAATGGGTTTTTATTTCCTTTTCTTGATTTTCTTTTGCTTTTAACATTTCCTTGGGGTGCTTGGACAAATCTATCCACTGGGACAAGGAGCACCGGATCCTCTCTTTGGTTCTGCCTAGAATCAGCAGGGCCACTTGGGCCTTCAGAATGCAGTGCAACGAACGCCAGGATTGCCATTTGTGGGGAAAAAAAAGAAGAACACTTGTTTATAGGAGGGCCCTGCCAATCAGAGCCCTGAATCTCTTCCTTGTCCCGCCTCATTCCCCACCACTATCTTTCTAATGGTGGCATGATGTGTAAACTCTGAGGAGGGGTGGGGGTGGGCCTAACTGTCTTAACATTTAATTCACTGCTCGTCAGAATACACTCCAGACCCAAAAGTGTGCTAGCCACTTGACTGTGATCAATGCCTAGTGCTAAGACGAGAAGATCAAGGGCACGAAAATGGGGGGAGAGAGTGTTGTTTCCGTTTGTTAAATGAGTTGATGTACCCTTATATAAATATATATATATATAAACACACAACAAAACAAAATAAACAAAAAAAACACAAAAAATCCACAAAAACAACAAAAAAAATCAAACCCTATATTTGACCACTTCCTGGAAAGGCATGAATGTGTTTGTGACTGTTTTTGTTTAATATTCTACTTCCTCTTTTCCCTCTATAATTTTACTGCAAATGAGATTATGTGCAAATGCCAGGCAAGTTATCTCAGAAGGGTGAATCAACACAAGTCTAATGAAATTTACATTGAAGGCTTCCAAACCAAAGGGAAGGACAGGATGTGTCATCAAATATGTTTTGTCACTTTGTATTATACAAAATGTTATTTTCTAAAGAGTCAGAAAAAATCTGTGAAACTTATTATGGGGTCCCTTGTATTTAAGTGTGAATTCACTGTATTTACTTTTCACTGCTACATTCAGAATCAAGTGTTTGGTTTCAATTTGTGAAAATATGCAAAACTTGTTAATAGCAGAGTGTTTATATAAAAACTCAGAAGGTCGAACATAAGCATACCAACAGAAATCAGTACTTCAAAGTGAACATTATTTATAAAAATAGTTTTTAAATTAGAAGAGAAGGTGTTTCAAATAATTTTACTGTATAAAGAATTACTTTTCTTTTAACTGTATAATTGTATCTTTCAGAAACAGAAAGCTGATGCTCCCAGGAAATACATTCCTTACCATTAACTTTATGTTTGAAATCAGTGACATGAGCAGTTAATATATATTCATATTGAAGATGATGCAAAGTTAACCACAAAGGAACTTGCAGTGGGCATAACTGTTAAAATATTACCTAAGTAGCTTTTAGTTAAAAAATATCAATGTGATTTAAAAAAAACACTGATAATAGAACTTCTACATTGCTTTAGTGATTCATTGTAGGAACTTCCATTCCAGTCATTGTCTGTGGGCTCGTGTAGTGACTATTGTATGTTTGGTTTATTCCTACCACCAAATAATGAGTAAACAATTCTACAGTTTTGGTCACAATACTAAGGTGTGAGTTGGCCACAAAAAAAAACCCAAAAAAACAAAAAAACACAAAAACACAAAAAAACCTACAACTTCAAGAGAGTTCACTGGGAGGGTAAAATTGAATTACAAATGTATGAGAGATGAGTTTTAACAATTTTGTAACAATGCAAAGGTCTAAGTATTTCTGTGACAAAGTAAAGGAGCCTTGGGATGTGCATTGATTTTTATTTGCTTAAAAATGTTGATTTCCCTGACAATTCACCTGGGTCCTTCTCTGCAATCTGTTCTTTATTCCCGTGCTCCCCTTGGACCTGTGTCACTTTTTCACAAACCAGAACTGAAGCTTCAAGGACACATAAACATTAATGTCAGCTTTGCACAACCAGTTATTTTCAGAATTCGAGAAGGCCATTGTTTACTTTGTTCTATGGACATCTGTCAGGGACTGGTGGCAGTGAACCTCATTGGACTGGATTCCAGATTCCCACAGTGCTCAGAAAACTGTAAACATGGCAATGGCCTGGTTTATTTCTTTTTTTTTAATTCTTTAAGTGCACGATGGAAGTGTGGAATAAATGTAGAGGAAGTAATCAGACCACAGTCATATTTTAGGCATCCATAGGTGTTAATTTAGCTGCATTGGGAGTACATTATTTGTTCTATTTTTAGTGTAGATTTAAGCACTTTGAACAGCATGATTCAGGGATTGATGGGTAATATTTGATATTCTCACAACTTAAGAAACGTTTTTAGTTTCCGCTAATGCTTTGTCATATTTTAAAGAAATGAAATAAATGGAGAAGCTATCTACGCTTTAGAAACATCCCTCCCAAGTATTCCTCTCTCAGCTCCATGTGAGAAAAAAATGAAGGAAACTATCATGTGCTCACGTGCTCTGTGTTTAACAAAGGTTATGTTAGAATTCACAATAAAAGAGAAAAATATTTCCCTAATGCTTAGGTTTCATCTCTCTCTCTTCTCTCTCTCTCTCTCTCTCTCTCTCTCTCTCTCTCTCTCTCTCTACTGGGAATACAATTATTCTAGTTTTAAAAACACAGTTGAAAGCATGAAAATGTAGCCACGCTGAGAAGGGGCTTCTGGACTCTGACATGTGTGATGTTTAACATTGTCTGTTTCTCATCAGTTACTACTAGGCTCCAAGTAACATGCTTTGGATTCATAAGTCCATCTGGTTCTTTAATGTAATCTCCACTCGTTGCCTGTGAGCATCCTAATCTTTATACTGGTGCTCAAATCTTTTCTCCAGTCTGCTACGTGCAGAGAAGAAATTTGTATCTCATGCAGCCAGATGATTTAAAATTAAATCAAATCTAAATTCAATATGCTGAGTTAAGAGACCTTAGTCTATTATATTTCTATATCTAAGTACCTGATTTCTCAGTCAACAATTTTGTGTTTATTATTTTCTTCATAGTATGTGTTTGTATTCTGTTGATGAAATCTTAATTATATAGATGCTATTTCCCCCTCATTTTGCTCTTAATTAGCATTCTAGAACAAGAGCAAATATTAACTGAGAGCCGAACCCTAAACTCCAAGTTTTATTTATCCTAGAATAGACATTAACTGAGAGATAACATGTTTGTAAATTAAGACGAACATTTCTAGGAAGCATTAATTCATACATTTTAAAAATTATTTTTGATCCTAGATTTATACCCTATTTTTCCACTTGAAGAAGTGATTTTATCTTGTACTTTATCTTTCTTTTAAAATTTAGTCTGTTTATATCATAGTCTCAGAAGAAAGCTACTGAAATTCAAGATAGGCCACTGGTATTGTGTAAATCAAATGACTGAACAAAAGTAAGATGATACACAAACATGGAAGAGGAAAACTCCTAATTGTCTCTTATCCGCACTTACTTGGTCATTATTCACATTAATTTAATTATATATGAGAATTGAAATATTATAAAATGGATTAGAAATTCCACCTATGATTATATAATCCATATCACTGGAGATGTTTTTAATAATATAAACTGTTATTATAAAGAGTACCCTAAAAGGAAGAAGGAAGAACTTACCAATGGAAGAACTCTTCCTTGATTTATTACAAACACTTTCCACTTTATTGTTCTGGGAAAAGAAAGTAAAAAATGTTCGAATTTCTATTATTCTTACCAATAAATCTTAAAGTTGGGTTCAAAAGCAACTTGTGTCAATAAAAAGAATCTAAGGAAATAATGAAGACTTGGAATATCAAGCAGAATTGTGAATGTGTACAAAAATATGTTTTCTTGGCTTTGAGTCTCAAAGACATCGATCACTTAAGAAACTACTGATGTCTGGATTTAGAGTACAATCTTAGAAACGGACATTCAAATAAACCAGACATAGCTATGGACATGTTAAGTATACTATTATTTACTTTCACTAATGACAATTTAGAGCACAATTATTCTTGTAATAGAAGGAGGCAATTCCTCTTCCAAGATAACTTTACTCTGTGGGAGACTTGGTCAATAATGACAGAAAACGTTACATGATGACAGGCATCATATTCATGTCCAGATAAATTAGAACTATCATTACTATTGTAGTTTATTCATTTCCTAATTTACTTTGTTTGTGGAGATGTGAAGTCAGGTAATTTGTAATAATATCTTATTTCACTAAACTTCTTTATGATTTGGATTTAATCCTGTTTCCTACAACAAATTAAAGAATTCAGTCAGTACAGGAATAGTAAACAAAATCATTTGAAATGGTTGTCCTAGGGACCCAGTTTTCCCACGCCCAAGTTTAAAGTTGGTTATTTACTTTATTTTCAGCTATTGAGCTTTTCGGGGTTTCAGAATTTAAGATAATTTCCGAGCATTATGAGGATTTTAAAGACTAAATTGAAGACGTGTTAATTATTTAAAGTTTTGCTCTTTACTTGTGATTGGTAGCAAGGTAAAACTTTGCTTTGTTAATTATTTATATACTGTCACAGGAAGCTGTAAGATCTGACTAGTTTAAGTCAAATATTATTAAAGAACAAAAGGACGATGATGGGATAATCCTGATCCTAATTTTGTGTGTCTTGTCATCATCAAGCTTCATTCACCTGCATAGAAAATTCCCAGAACAAAAGGAAGGAATTCAGCTCTAATCTTCCATCATATATCATTTTTTCCTTCCGAGCTCAGAATATAAAACACCACTCCATTAAAGATACATAAGATACATAAAAGCAAAAGGCAAAAGTTTTCCTTTTGCCCTTTACTAAATGTTCCTCTGAATAGTTTGAGTCCACTGACAGACTTGTGTTTCTGGATTGTTCATTAAAGTAACTTAAGGAGCTATTGTTTTTCTATCATGCACTACTTTCATTGATGCATCCTCCAGGGTCCATAAGTCTGAAAAGTATTCTCTTTCTAACAATCACTCTAAACCATTTCAGTATATTTCCTCCACTACTAAGTAAATAGAAACTGAAGAACTGCACATGAACTTGAGAATATTACATGTAATATTGATGTTGTGTAAAATTCAATCTTCATAGTCCAGATAACCTTAAGTTTCAAAGGGCATGCTGGTCATTAAAAAAGATTTAATGTAAAATGACATATTACATAGTGCATGAACACGTGGCAAAGTAATTTGGATCTATCTTCACCAGTTAATGAGAGACTAAATTTGGGGAGATCAGTTGTGTTTTAAGTTAATTCTCAACTGGGATGAAGATATATTTATGTTAGGATATATGGACAGCTGTCCATAGTCCTTGAAGCATATGATCCTGGTAATTAGAATCCTTAGTGTGTTCTTTCCAACAAAGTAGTGGAGATATGTTCATAGAATCTGCAATTGAATTGTAAAAACTTTAACATTTTTGGAGTTTGAGGGAACCCAAAAGGAAAGTGAAATTAGTAATTTTCCTCTGCTGGTGTTCAAGTCAAAATTTAAACTCAGACACTCTCAGACATGTTCAACAGTCAGTAAAAAAGTGCATTTTACATAGTGTTTACCTTTAGTTTTGCCTATACTCTTTGATTTTGTACAATCTAGAATGTATGTAACTCATGTGTAGGTAATGGAGGCGCTCTTTTTTTTCTTAGAATACTTACAATTATATATTTGGTTTTGCTTTGACTAGCAATAGGAAAATAGACAAATACAAGTGTAAAAATGAGAAATTTTAAACTTGAAATATAATTTGTGTTTTATAGTCGTTTCATAAGTCTGTTGCTCTCTATGAGTATGCTCTCTATATATCCTGTAAAAATAAATTTATATGTTAAATAGAAATTCAAGAAATTAAATTATTTATTAAGCTACAAATGTTTCTTCTGGTTTCTACCTGGTCATAGATAAAATAAATGGAAAAATGTGTTGTTGGAATATATGTAAGTACCTTCATTAATTTGATAACTTGTACTTTCCCTCTCTATTTGCATAAACTTATAATTATTAGATTTAATTCCTAGTAGGACTGTGAACACAGTGACTTAAGAATTGTCCAACTGGCTGGACAAAAGAAAAACCTTGCTAAAAAAAGGTTACTTACCATCTCTTTATCTTTTCTTTACTACTGGATGATGAAGAAAGTTGAATCACAAACTCAATCATCTAAAACTAAATACAATATCAATGATCTTTCAAGTTCATTTCTGAATTCCTTATCAATTTCATAAAATCCTTTGATAAACAGAAATGAAAGAAATTTAAACATGTGAGTCTTCTTTGCTATTTTTCTCCTTCACTTCTTGGCCCCCAAGTATTTTATTCCTTTCTTTTTAAGGACTGTTCACTTAATGACCTTAAAATAAACTCCCCTCAGGAAACATTTTAAAGTGACCAAGATCTTTAATCACCTTATTTTCTACTCTGTTTGCACCTACCTGTGGTGTGCAGTTATTCATAATAGGAAATGTCTTTGGCCTTACTTTTCATTTTATGTTAAAGACCAAAATATATTATTTATTTATTGAGGGAGAAGGAAATCATGATAAGTCTTTCCAACACAAGCAGTACAAGTGAAAACCTCTTAGAATTAGTAATCTGTTTAGGCAGAATTCCTATCAGGATAGTCTATTAAGAAACACCTAACAAAGACGAAATGGACAAAATTTTAAATAAATATTAAATGGACAAAATATTAAAATAAACAAAATATTAATTGTGTAATTCAGGCTACATTTTAAAACTATCAATACATTATATTTTTCACAGTTATTTCTACCTCAGTAGGGGTTTCCAATGTGAAAAAATGACCTGCTAAAAAAATTAAATGCTGTAGGGATTATTTACCAGTGATAATTCCTATATTGTATATTAAATTGTGAGTTATATGACCCATTATTTTAAAAAAACAGGAGAAATTCTATAATTAATGGAAGAATATTTGGGATGTTTGCAGATTTCTCACACACACATAAAAGTCTCAGGAATTTTCACTTATTGACAGATGGTTAAAGGCTACTTCTAGAATATCTTAATTATATGATAGACAATAGGTATTAGATTGACATCTACTGAAAAAAGAAACAGATAACGAGACAATAATTCAGATAACTGAAATAGTAACACAATCAATAACTTGTTACTGTGATACTTTTAACATTTATATATGGGCCATAAGAATAATTCAAACAAATTTCTTGATAAACTTGCATTTTCCATACACAATGATACCAATCTGTGGCTAAGAACGGGGATGTAAAATTATGAAGGACAGATTACATCTAAACTTGACCATTAGTTTAGCAAATTGTTTATTCAAATTAGATATTTTTATTCCAATGATAAAAACCCATTTGTTTTAGACAGCACAGGGGGGAGATTTGTATAATTATTCATTTGATTTTAAGTGTGTTTTAATATTTTTTAAACTTAAGTAGTACATAAAATTCAATTTTCTGAATTATATTTCTGCTTCTACTTATATGGTAAAATGATATATACTTGCACAATTTAAATTAAAAAACAGTCTACGATATGTGGCAAATGTAATCTAGATA